GCCACTAAGAAACCAAGCCCCAAAAAAAACGTTTCTGGCCACCCTCCGTGGCAGTGGTGGAGGCAAGACCCGGGCTCTTGAAGAAATTCGCTGGGAGCTCCTGAACTTTGAGGGCGTTCTGCCCCTGGCCTTCACGTACAATTCCGCGTGAGTTTGATAAGAGCAGAGCTGAACATCAGCAGAGATGCTGACATCAACCATGCGCTGACGGTGGTGGCACGGCTGGCGGTGGTGTTCTACGGCATGCGATTGCCAAGCGTGCGTTCAACATTGAAGACTGCGGATTGGAAGAACATTTTTGCTTCTGCAGAAGACGACCTTCCCGTCCAGCTCATCCGTGCCTTCATCCGCCACGTTGTCGCTAAGTTGAGCCAGTCCAAGGTGGTGAAGACCATCGTTATTCTGGCAGACGAGGTAGCAGAAGCAGAAGAGCAGATTGCTGCGGACGTCACCTCGATTCTCCGCAAGGCCGTTCTAGACGAGAGCATTCTTCCAGAACTTCAAGCCACTGTTGTGATTTCTTCGTTGACCCTGTCTCCGCCCCCCGCGATTGTTTTAGCGACGTTATTTTTTGCCCTATTGTGTGGTCAGCTTTGTGTTCTGGAATATGAATAGGTGATGTAGGGTAGGCGTGTTCTTGCGTAGCCTTCTTTTCTTAGCCAAGGCTCGGTGCAATGCCTTCTGGGAGGCATCCTGTCATTTTGGAGCTTCCGGAGCGCTTGGATGCGGAGAAGGTCGTGAAGTCTTGGTGGGCAAGAGAAGGGGCTACTTTTGAGTTTGCAGCGGCAGCCCTCTCAGACCTGCCTCGCTTGCTGGAGTTCGGGGCAGGCTTCCTCGATGAATTCCCGGACAGTGTGGCCCGCAATCCGAGCAACGTCTCGGAACTCTTCGTGCATGTGCGGGAGCAGCTTCAAGGACGCTACTTTCCACGACTCCCTTCGTTTGCAGAGCTTTATCCGGCTGTCTTCGGCGAGGAAACTGAGAGGAATGAGACGGCAATGGCATACATTCTGGAGAGCATTTTCGTGAATGCCCTCAAGGATGTCCGGATGCCACGCTGTACTTCCAGGGTCACACCTGTTGTTTCACTTTTCATGATCAGCGCGGCTGCAAAAGCAAGCAGAAACCCTTCCAGCTTTGCCAAGCTTGTGGCTGAGTTCCCTGAGAACATCGAGCTGAAAGAAGAAGGGAGACCTTTGGAGTGCTGTGCGATGTGGTGGCTGAGGATGCGCTTGGCTACCGCTGCTGGCAAGAAGGATTTCCCTTTGGAGAAGCTGTTGGGCTTAGAGGGGGTCGACTTTGAGGATGCTGAAGACAGGTGCATGCTCAAGTTGGTGAAAAAGGTAATCTTCCATGTCCCATCTGATGACTTCAACCTCCGAAGGTCGTATCGCAAGGGCAAACTTGCCAGCAGTCGCAAACAAAATGCAGCAACCTTCTTGGAGCAACTCAACCAACTGGGCAAAGAGGCAGACGAAGTCTGGCTTTTGTGCGCAGCTGACCGTGAAGGGTGGGACATCCTGCTGTCTGTGTATGACACTCAGGACAGCAAATGGTTTCTGGCTTTCATTGATTTAAAGGCTAGGCAGTCTTCTGAAGATGCAGATCAAGCCAGGTATGTGCAGTCGCTGGCTTCCAGGGCTCAAAGCCGAGGTAGTGTTGCTCCATCCAGCTTGCTAGAAGCTCTCAAGGATAAGCGGTACTGTTTCTTATACATCACTACTGCAGAGGGCGCAAGCTCTGCGAATGAACTTGCCATCACGATGAGGCGTGATGATACAGAGAGGTTTTTTGGACCTCTCTCCGCCATTCACAGTGCAATTCGTAAAGCCTTCACGAGCAGCTGAAGAACTGCTGCGCTGACCTTAAATGACAGCTGTGGTGTGAAAGCGAGGCTGGCGGCGATTGATGTGTTGTTGAGTGTGCTGGGCTAAGAAACTCTACGAGGGGGTTCGCCCCGTTTTACTGGGTAAGATATTACATAAAATTATGTAATATTTTATCGGGATTGGTTGAGGTTGCGGGTTGAGGTTATGGAGTAGCATAATGGATAAGGTTATGGGTATAGGGTGGTATGTCGGTGGTTGATTGAGTTTGCGTGGCGGGTTTAGGCTGGGGGGTGGTGAGTTGGTCGGGGCTGGGGTGGTATCTTAAAACGGGGCATGGTCTAGGCTAGCTAAGGTTAGGGGCGAAGCGCACTGAGTTGAAAAGCCCTTTGCCAGTTCTGGCTTCTGTACAATTACTGCAGGATATCACGGCTGCTAACTCTATCCAGAATCCAGAAGCCGCCCAAGTAAAAATCCAAAACCCGAACCTCTAAGCCTTGTTGGGCACCCAGGCCCTGCAACCCTACTACCTCTTCTAAACTCAAAACCCCTGCAAATAAACAACCACAACGCCTGCCAAGCGTGCGGTCTTGAGCATGTGGCACAGGTGAGAGGGGCCGAGCTGGGTGCAGAGGATTCGACCGGAGCACCGCGACCAGGACCTCAGGGAGTGTGGAGATGTGTTGGATGTTAGGGCTGTTCAGTGATACGAGGTTATTATTCCAGCCTTCGGTTCTAGGGAGAAGATTAGGGTTCTGAGGTGGCTTGATGATCCTCAAGTTAGTCAGCTTGATGTAAGACGGAGCATCATGGAGCCAATAAGTGATAAGTAACACCTATCTTGCCGTCTCAACCATAGTGATGGCGTTCACACAATAGGTTTTGGTTTCAGTTCTACTGATGCCGTTGAGGCGGGTGAGCTTCGGGTGGAAGGACAACTCCCAGAGACTGTAACCCCCAAGCAAAATATGGAGACCTTAATAATTAGAATAGGGTTTTGGGGTACATTATACGATAAATTAATAAGGAGCCCCCGAAATGATATAGGTAATTATTCATTCCCTTCTAGTACCTTCTCTTCAGATATCCGGTCCCGAATTTGACCCGGACGCCTTGACTTTCCCCGCCCCGCCGCTGCTTTTCAGCTTGATGCCCTGTGGCCGGAGATGCTGGTGCTCCTAAACCGTAGACGTCCCTTAGCCCGAAGCTGAAAGGCCGAAGATATCGAACCGAACCAGCGCGCCCTGAACTCTGCTTGTTGTTGTTCCGCTAGGAGGAGACATCTTCGAGCCCAAAGACGCTGAGGCCAGTGTGAGGTCTTGGGTTCCGGGTTCAGGGATTGCCGGGGGCCTGCCGGAGGGGTCTCACTGATGACTAGTGATTCATACTGTCCCCTTATCGTGCCGATTTTTGTTTAGCATCACATGCCCCCCATCCTAGTCTAACTTCTAAGGCCCTACGTTACACCTGTTTTGGCCACCCTTGTCGATCCGTACAAGGAACTCTGACAGTAGTTTTGAGGCAGCCACATTACCCCCTCGCAACCTTTAAACCCTCTAAAAGGAACCCATATTACACTGCAACTAAAGAAAAAGCCCCAAGGAATCATGAAAACCCTTTACAGGAACCCAAGTTACACTGTAACTGAAGGAAAAACCCCAAGGAATAGTGACCCAAAGGTCATGGATGCCGAGGAGGTGGAGCAGTCACAGGTGGCGCCCAGCGGAGGCCGGTCCAGCCATGAATTTTGGTGGGCTCTTGGGCTAAGGGTTGAGGGGTTTAGGGTTTGATAGGGGTGTAGGGCAGTGTAGGGTTTGGGAACAACCCTGATCGGAGGGTTTGGGCCTGAGTTTAAAGCTGGCAGCTTGCACTTAAGTTTAGGCCGTAGGCTTTAGGGTCATGGGTTTGGGTTTGATGTATTGCTGCTTGGGGCACTAGGCTTAGGGCCAGGATTCCGATTCCCAGCCCTCAGCCTCTCCTTTTGCAAGAAACTGCCGCACAGCGCGGTTGCTGGTTGCTTTCGACAACCGGAGTTCGCAGCAGGAGGGGCCGCACAAGCGTGACCCTGATCTGCAATAGCCATCAGCCGATAGGCTCAAGTCAGTACTTGCAGACTTGCAGATGCAAAGCCCGAAGAACTTTGCAAAGCCTTAAAGTCTTCAAGCAACCGCAGTCGAGAATGACAGAAAGGGGAAACCTTTTCTGCACTGGTCAAGCCACTTAACCTAAATCCATCAGCAAGAAACCTCAATCCTGAACCCTCAAGACCCAAAGCCTCAATATCCAAAAACTAAAGAACCTCAACGCCCCAAGCCCAAAACCCTCAAAACTTCCCCCCTACGAAATCCCAGCGCCTGATTTGCCGGGTCGGGTCCCGAGCCATGGCCAAGCATGCCGAAGCCTTCGAGGAGATCAGTCGCCTACCCGGGCTGGTGCATGTGAAGGTGGGCTTCGCGGGTTTGGGGGCCGTTTAGAGGGCCATTTGTGGGGTTTAGGGCCGTCTCCCTCCCCCCCGAGCGCTAAGCCTCCAGCAACGTGCTGCAGAGGGCCGCCCCCCCCCCCCAGGTGACGGACCGAGAGGAGCCCTATGCCGTGCCAGCCAGCCTCCTGACGCTGAGCTCCGACGTTTGGAGGCCTTCGGGTTCAAGGTCTTTCCCTCTCCCTCCGTTGTTTTCCAGTCAGCGATTGAACTGCTTTGGGGGTTAAGAGCTTTTTGAGGCATTCAGGTTGAGGTATGTGGAAGTTATTCTGTTTGGATTAGGAGTCTTGGTTTCGGATGGTTTCAGTCAGAAGTCTCCAAGAGTGCTCATCTATTCTCTCAACAGCAAGCAGGTGTGAGCTGACCGGAGGCTTCATGGAGGGCGAGACGAAGGAGCTTCCGGACCCTAAATAGACTGTTCTCCTTCCTTTAAAGGGGGCCCCTAAAGGGACTACCGCCGCTTCAAAGAGGACTAGGTGGTTTTATGTTGGGTTTGCGCTGTTTCAGAGGGGAGGCTAGAGCCCATCAGTGGGTCGGTGGTTTAGGTTGGGCTTTCACCGACCTGGCACCCGACTGCTACTTCCCCGGAGATCTCCCAAGCCCACACGAAGACTTCGTCAGATGCCATTCTTGGGTTCCCCAATATGTTTGAAGTATAGCCCCTCCTTGGGCCTCTACGGCGGTAGATGCAGATTTCCCAGCCGAGGCTGCCTTTGGATGTGACGGCTGGGGAGTTCGAGGTGGTGCTCGACTTCCTCCTACCTGCAGCTGCGTCGAAAAGAGCGGTGGATGCAACGACTTCTGGGTAGCTATCAGGAGTGGCGCTTTGTGTTTCAGTTTCCGGGCGTATACGGGTTCAAGATATGAGGCTTTTTCGGGATGCTCTTCAAACCTTCAGCTCCACATCGCCAAGGAATCTCGAGCTCCTGATGACACTCTCCTGGAAGTATGACCTGCAGGGCCTGAAGCTCAAGTGCATGAACTTCATCGGCAATGAGGTCATCTCGGCTCATAACGTGGAGCGCCGCCTGTACTACGGCATCAAGTATCAGGAGTCGGCTGACAAGAACTTCTTCAAGACAGATCTCGGTAAGAGCATCTTGGACTTGCAAAATATCTAGCATGCGAGAAATTAGAATTCTCCCAAGCAGCGGTTTGGAAGCCGTGATACTCCAGTCGGTTTACAAATCGTTCCACCTGTGTTCCTGCTACCACATCATCAAACGGTTGAATCTTTATATCTGAATCTCTGTCTGATCGTTTCGAAGTTCATGCGGCAGCACCCTCCACACAGCCTCAGCCCTCAGCCGTCACTGAGGCAAAGACTTCCTTGCGGCAAAGTTCTTCGAGGTCGACGGACGGGCCTGTCTTCGACGCGTCCGAAAACGGATCCAGGAGTGGGGGGAGGTTAACTACTGTAGACCCTCAGCTGTAGTCCGTTTATCTGGTTGCCTTGTGCAGCCGTGTCAAGGACCCCAACCCGAAAAGGAGATAAACACTAGAAGAGCCACCTGGGAGCGTATGGGTATGGCCACTCTCCCATGCTTGTTCCCGGCTCGGTCAGGCATCCTCTTCCGCGTCTCTACCTTAGCTCTCACCTTCCCGATTCCAGGAAGAAGCCGCAAAGATCTCGGCAGCCACTTCCCCTCTGACGGACCTCTATGCAGATGTCGTTGAAGACGTCCTCCACGCGGTGCGAACCCGTGGCCTTGCGGCGGTCGCTTCCTACAACAACACTGGGACCGGGCAACTGCGACGCCGAATCGAAGTTGAGATGCCTCACGTGCACAAGTTCCTCAAAAGATCTGAGGACAGCTGACCGAGCTCCGCCAAAACGCCAAAGTGGTTCCATCTGCAAGGAAGCAAGGCTCATCTTGCTCCTGACTGGCCTCCCGCCCTGAGCAATACACTCCCACGACTATTGTCTTTTTTTGCTGTAGACCCTTGGTGACCCTTATCAGGGCTAGGCCTCCCCTCGAGTCATGAGCGCACAATCAACTTCAGCCGCCTCTTGGAAAGCTTCAAGGCATCAGTTGTTCAACCTCTCTCTGTCTCTCTCGCTCTCTCTCCCTCTCTCTCTGTCTTTAGTTCTTTCCTTCTGGAGCTCTGTCCAAGGAGTGATGCTATGTCAATAAATCTCTGTGTGTGTATGTATGTATGTATGTATGTATGCATGTACGCACACACCGGAGAAACATGCATAGTTGTGTATAATCATGCGGGCCCGTATGAGTTTCAGTATGAATGTCTGTCTGTCTGCCTGCCTGCCTGTCTGTCTGTCTGTCTGTCTGTCTGCATGCATGCATGTATGTATGTTTGTCTAGATAAAGCATTAAAGGCATCAAGCAACTGAGTAAGTAGACACTTAAGTAGATATACATCCTCAATCCGAGACTGTGAATCCCAAGCCCTGGGCCCGAATCAAGCACCCAACCCCTAAGCCTTGAATCCAACACCCTGAAACCTGTCACCTTGAGCCCTAAACCCCTAGTTTTGGGTTTAGGGTTTAGGGGTTGTGGGGAGGTGCATGATTCACAACTCT